TCCTCCTCCTCGTCCTCGTCGCCGTCCTCCTCCTCCTCCTCGTCGTCGTCGTCGTCATCGTCATCATCGTCATCATCATCAGCATCATAATCATCATCATCAGCAGCATCATCAGCATCATCATCATCATCATCATCATCCTCACCATCAACATCATCATCATGATCACCCTCATCATCATCATCATCATCATCATCAGCGTCATAATCCTCATGATCATCATCATCATCGTCATCATGATGATCACCATCATCATCATCAACATCATCATTACCATTATCATCATCACCATCATCATCATGATCACCATTATCATCACCATCACCATCATCATCATCATAATCATCATCTCGCCATCATCATCTCGCCATCATCATTAGCATCAGCATCAGCATCAACATCAGCACCATCATAACCATCATCATCAGCATCATCAACATCATCATTATCAGCATCAGCATCAGCATCAGCATCAGCATCATCGTCACCCTTTCCCCCCTCATCCTCCTCTTCCCCCCCTCCTCCGCCTCCTCCTCCCTCATCTTCCCTCATCCTCTCTTGCCTCCTCGAGGTAAAGCTCACAAGCCATTAAACAAGACGACGAATTCGCACAGAGCATTCCATAGCTCCCCGGGTCGGCGGCACAGGCCAGAAGCCTCTACAATGGCAACATCAGCGTACCGCGCCGTGTATACGCTGCCAGTCCACGTTGGACATGAACTGCCGCATCCCGCCTGGCCAACGCCCGCATAGGAAGCGCGAAACATATCGCTGGAAAGGGTACCCCCATTGGGCGCTGGCATGCCCATGGACACCAAGATATTATTTAAATCCGTTCCGATGTTCCCTGAATTCTCATACCAATGAAAAAACGGCTCGTCATTTGTCGCGACAGCTACCACCGTGCCAGCAGCAATACCATTGAGGTGATTTTTGAGCGAGGTCAGATCTGTGTAGCTGAAGAAATTATGCCCTGCACTAGTGGACACCATAATGCCGCGATAGTTAGATGCATGGCTGTAAGTCGCGTCTCCGCTGCCCATGCCCGTGACGATCGCGCACCCGCATCCACAGGACGTTCCCCTGCTAGGCTGGTCACAGCCTTCCGCCCTCGCCGTGACATCCGAGCACACCTGGTACACGTGAGTCACGCAGCTGCTACCTCCGTCGGCACAAGTGCTGAAATCAGATGGCCTGGAAATGATCGACGTCTCCGTGTGTAACCAACAATGGTTGCCATCCTCTACGGAGAAGAACTTGTAGCCCCCAGCTTCCGCGAGAGCCCCGCAAGAGACCGAATTATGCGGTCTGCCGATGCTGGCGCTCGTTGACCACACACGCGGGCAATTGTTCCAACATCCAATGGACGTGTAAGTGGACGACAAGTTTGCGCTCAAAGACGCTAAAGCCGCCGATGCTGACTTCATCTTGGCCTCCATGCGCGACATCCTGTCACCTTGTTGCACATGAATGGCACCCGCGGTTGTCAATAATACCACCGGCCACATGAACGTGAATACTGCCTGGGCCTTCATCTCAAACGAGAGGAGACCGCAAGCGTAATGTATTTGTGTGAGGTCGGGTACGAGGTGTGACTGCGCGAGCCAGTGTCCAAGACTACAGAAGCATGGCTTTCAGATGAACCCTCAGTTGGCTCCAACGTTGCCCAACGATGTCCAAGGCGGCCCTCAAGTGGGGCCAGAATGACCAACATCACAGGAACAAGCCTTCTGGAAAGCGCTTTGAAGGGAGTCGATTGGAAAACAGCACAGAGCTAATCAACTGGAGAGCATTATTCAGGGTTCTATTGGAGGGCATCGCAAAAGAAAATCTCTGACAACCATAACAAGGGGATTCGATTGGAATACCTTACACGGACTAAAATTTTTTGATTGGACAACGTCACATCAAAAACCTGGTGGAGAGCGCAAAGAAAAAGGATCGGAAAGCCTCACATGGAAAACACCACAAACATATTATATTCGACGGCCTCACATTCGGGAGCTGTTGGAAAGCACTACTGAGCGCTTCTACTTGACAGCGTCACATACAGCTCAACAGCGCCACGAAAGGATCCGATTGGAAAGCATCGCAACAATAATCCGCTGGAGCGCATTACTGACGGCTGCTATTTGAAAGTGTCACAACGGGGACGGCACAGACACACAACAAATGACTTCGATTGGAAAGCTTCACATGGAAAGGACCCCAAAGGGATTCGATAGGAAAGCGTCACAGCAGGAATCTTTTGGACAGCGCAGCAAAGGATTCGACTGGAACGCCACACATGAAAAAAAACACCAGACGTAGATTATATGAAGTGGCCCACCATTCGGAACATGTTGGAAAGCGCTACTGAAGGTTTGTACTGGAATGCATCACAGATATGATCAGATTTTGAAAAAGCTACGAACGGATCCTACAATAAAGCATCACAACACGAATCCACTGCAAAGCACGACTGAAGGCTTCGACGGGGAACCATCACAAAGGGAGTCCTTTGAAAAGCACCACGATGGTATTCTATTGGAAAGCCTCACATGGAAAACACCACAAAAGGGACATGATTGGAAAGCGTCACAACAGGAATCATTTGGAAAACGCAACAAAAGGACTTTCTCAAGGAAAGCCTTACATGGAAAACACCACAAAACGATTCGAATAGAAACCCTCACAACCGGAATATTACGGAAAACGCGACTGGAAGTTCCGATTGGAACTCGTCACAAAAGGAATACGTTGGAAAACTCGGCGCAGGGATTCGTTGGGAAAACATCACAACAGGAATCCGCTGGAAAGCACAAGTGAGGACCCCGATTGGGCAGCTACACAAAAAGAGCCCCTTGGAAAACGCGACGACGGGATGCTATTGGAAAGCATCTCAACAGGAATCCTTTGGATTACACAACTGGGGGCTCCTATCGGAAAGCATTACAACGGGGAACCTTTTGAAAGCACCACACAAGGACTCTACTGGAAAGCCTCGCATGGAAAGCATCACAAAGAGATTCGATTGGAAAGTCTGACACTCGGAATCCTTTTGGAAAGACCTGCTGAAAGCGTCATAGAACGAATCCTTTAGAGAACGCGGCGAAGGGTTGAATTTGAACACATCGCAACAATAATCCTCTCAAACGCATTCCTGATGGCATCTATTGGGAAACGTCGCAGCAAGAATCTTCTCGGAAAGCGCAACAAACGGATTGCACTGGAAAGCCTCAAATGGAAAGCACTCCAAAGGGATTCGATTAGAAAGCTTCACGCCAATAATCCTTTGGAAAACACAACAAAATGGATTACACAGGGAAGCCTCACTCTCGGAATCATTTGGAACACGCGACGAGGGTTCTTCTCCTCCACGTCCCAGCTCGAGGCTGGAACACCAGAAATGATTGAAACAACACCCGATGACCCTACCCAGCCCGTCCTCAATTCGAGTCGACGGTTTAAAACAACGCTCCACACAAAATAACACGCTGCAAGGACACTCTGCTCCGCTGGACCCCCCTGGAGCCCACGACAACAGCAACGATTGCGCACTGCGCCCCACGCCCCCCCCGTGAGCTGCGTGAGCTGCGTGCCCCCCCCCCGCCCTCCGCTGGCTCCCCCCCCCCCCCCCAGGAGCCCACGAGAGTGGCGACGGTTCGCAGCCACCCAGGGCCTCGGCTGGGCTGTATGCGCGTGCCCCCCCCCTACCCTGACTCCGGCTCCGCCCTGCTTTGGGGAAATTCGTAAGCAGGGCTTGGAAGTTCCGCCTGACTTTTCGGGCCCCGCTGATGCCAATTTCCGCCCTACTTTTCTGTTGCTGTTTCCGCCCTGCTTCTGTGGATTTCCGCCCCACTCTATGTTGGGTGCCGGAATTTCCGCCCTACTCTTTCGGCTTCTCACAGGTGGGTTCCCGACGCAGTTTTGAGTTGGGAAAAAAGCCAAAGCAGGGCGGATCTGGAGTCAGGGTACTCCTTACCAGCCTGGAACATATCCCTATCCCTATGCTGGGCACCTGCTCACCACGATGCCAATCTTAGGGATTCCTTTGTTTTTGAGGGCGAATCCCTAAGATTGTCATCGCCTTTTGGCGTGTCAACCTTAGGGATAGGGATACGTTCGAGGCTGGTAAACTCCACCGTGCCTCCAACGAACCCGCGAAAAGCGGCGGGCCGCGCCCATTAGCAGCCACCCAGGGAGCAGCGATGGGCCTCGTCCGGGCGCGCGTGGGCCCCCGACCCCGCCGGGCCTCCCGCGAGCCCACGAAAAAATGCGGCGCGTGCGCAGCTCGCAGAGCCGCCCAGGGAGGCGCGAGGCCTCGACGGGGTGCGCGCACAGGGCAGTTTTTTACTACATGGGATTTTCAGAAACATGGGAGTTCTAAACCATCATCAATGTATGAATGTATGCATGAACTCATCGTTGTTTTTAACGCTAAATCCCTGCATGCATGTTTAATACATGATCGATTTATGGATAACTTTATGCATGAACTCATCTCATCGTTGTTTTGAGTGCTAAATCCCTGCATGTTTAATACACGATCCGCGCGCGGAGCATGTACTAAAAACGGCATTGTGCTCCCCCGCCCCGCCCCGCTGGGCCCCCCATGGGGCTCATGGACATGGCGACGGTGGCGCAAGCCGCAATCCCCCGGGAAGCTGCGAGGCCTCGGATGGGTGCGCATACGGCAGGTTCGCGTCGTGACGACCCCGGCGTTGGTTTCTGACACCGCGTGGATCGTTCAACCTTGAACGATCGGCGGCTTTCCGATCGCGCGATCGTTCCATCTAGGCCGACTCTGGGCCTCTGGCGGCATTCAACCTTGAACGCCCGCGGCGGGGTCGCCGCTGGTCGACACGGCGCGAACCTACCGTACGCCCCATTACGTTGCCAGCCCTTGCGCAAGTCGACGGCTGCGCACCTCGCCACCGCCGGCACGGAGCTGCGAGGGAGGTCCCGGCTGGATCCACTCGCTTCCCTGCTCCGCCGTGCCTCCCAGGAGCCCACGACACTGGCGACGGTTGCGCAATTTGCAACCTCCCCAGACCTCCTCGAGTCATGAAAAAATCACGACGGGAGGTTTTCCGCTATTTTCGGCCTCTGAGGGCCCTTATCGGGCCTCGGGACCGTCAAAAAACGACTCGGGATGAAAAACCGGTCCCGGGGAATGGGTCTGGACCTGTGGGGGTCGCGTCATGAAAAAATCATGACGTCGGGGGTCTGGGTCCCAGGGAGCTGCGAGATCTTGACTGGATCCGTGTACTCCCCTACTCCGCCGTGCCTCCAAGGCGCCCACGAGCGTGCCGGCAGCAGCGCAAGTCGCAGCCCCTCCCCCCCAAGGAACTGCGACGACTCGGCTGGGTGGCCCCCCGACCCCGCCGTGCCTCCCAGGAGCACACGAAATGAGCGACGCTGCGCAGCTCGCAGCCCCCCCTATGAGCAACGCTGTGAAGTCTCAAATGGTCTGCTTACTTCCCGACTCCACCGTGCCTCCCAGGAGCCCGCGAAAGAGGCGACAGTTGCGCAACTCGCAACCACCCAAGGAGCTGCGAGGTCTCACATGGTCCGTTTACTCCCCGACTCGGCCGTGCCTCCTAAGAGCCCACGAAAGTGGCGACGGCTGCACAATGCGCAACCACCCAAGGAGCTGCGAGGTCTCGAATGATCCGTTTACTCCCCGACTCCGCCGTGCCTCCTAGGATCCAACAGAAGTGGCGACGGTTGCACAGTTCGTAGCAACTCAAGGTGCAACGATGTCTCATGTGATCCATTTACTCCCCGACTCCGCAATGCCTCCCAGGAGCCCACGAACGTGGCGACAGTTGCGCAGATCGCAGCCACCCACGCAGAGAGCACTGCAGGCGGAAGTCGGAGGAGGTGGGAGAAGGGGGGGGGGAAGGAGGAGGTGGGTGTACGACCGCAGTGCTCTAGTCAAAACGAGGAGGGTTCGGAATACAACAATGATTCGGTAGAACCCTTCTGGGATTGGCCTCGGCCCAGGGGAATGTGTCCGAAACCACCGTGTTATGTGCTGTGGTAGCTTCATTGTTTTCCAGTGGTTGAAGTTCTACCGAAATCATAATGCGGGATGACGATTAATAAAAAAGGGAGAGAACGATTCAACACATAATTTTCTGCTATTTCTGCACAATTTTTGACTGGAGGAGAACAATGAACGAAATGGTCTTCCGGCCCGCGGCCGGATTTTTTTCTAATCGTCATCCCTGGCGCCGCCGCGTGAACACGACCCCCGGTCATTTATTGATCGCCATCCTCCATTCATGTTATTGGCTCGATTGGCTTTCCTGCGGCTCCTGCTGGAGGACCGCCGGAGTGCAGGCCTCCAGAGGTCTCCAGCGCCAGCGCCCGGTCCGAGGCAGCGACGGAGAGCCGCTGCGCCGAGGAGGAGGAGGAGGAGGAGGAGAAGGAGGAGAAGGAGGAGGAGGAGGAGGGGGAAGGGAGAGGATGAGGAGGGAGGAGGAGGGGAAGGAAGAGAGGAGGGAGAGGAAGAGGAGGCAGAGGAGGAGGAGGGAGGAGGATGAGGAGGAGGAGGGGAGGAGGAGGAGGAAAGTAGGAGGAGGGGGAGGAGGAGGAGGAGGAGGAGAGGAGGAGGAGGAGGAGGGGAGGAGGAGGAGGAGGCAGAGGAGGAGGAGGGGAGGCAGTAGGAGGAGGGGATAAGGATGAAGATGGATGAAGGATGAGGAGGG